CCATGAATAATATTATTGCAATTTCTTCAACCAATTCGACCAATCAGATGGCTAGATTTCTAACGAGAGGTATATAACCATTGATATATCAAGGTACATGTAGGTCACTATTCCTTTCCTTATATACATATCAAAACCATTACAAGTGCTTATCAAATTCAACTCATTTATTTATTTATTCATTTAAATATTTATATATTTATTTATTGATGCATGCTTCATCACTTTATTTAGTGTGAACATAATAGAGAAATTACTATGAATACAATACAGATAAAATAATGGATCATTATGGGACAGCACACAGCATGGTATTATTGTATATCTAAAAAATGACACTTGGCGAATAACAACATTATCAAAAAGATATTACCTTTGTCATTTTGTACCACAGAAGAAGAGGATTGCCCAGACGGACCATGCCTAAATTATGGTTACTGTCGTCCAAATGGAAATAGATGTCGGTGTGTAGATGATTTCTATGGACCTTACTGCGGTAAGTCATTCGTCATGGTAAAGCATGCATTATGAAAGATAAAGTTGAGTTCTGGTCATGCCATTGCATTGTGTAAGAAACGGGCTGGAAGTAACTGACTTTAACTGAGAAAGGATGTCATAATAATAATAGTGAAAATGATAATAATAAATGTCTTGCCGCGGCGGGGCTCGAACCGCGAACTATGTGATCCACATTCGAGTGACGTGTCCACTATACCACGACACCTCTACATACATGTTGATGTTGTAAAACAAATCGTTGTATAATATGTGAGGCTTTCGAATCATCAAAATGATAAGATATTGACTCAATGTCGCTGAAATGCACATTATCAACATCGTCATCGTCATCTTAACCATTATCAAAACCATCATTGTACTCTTAACCAACTTCATCGTCATCATCATAATCATCATCATAATCATCATCGTCATCGTCATCGATCTGAACCATTATCAACACCATCATTGTACTCTTAACCATTATCATCGCCATCATCATAATCATCATCATAATCATCATCATCATCGCCATCATAATCATCATCATCGTCATCATCATAATCATCATCATCATCATCATCGTCATCATCATAATCATCATCATCATCATCATCACCATCATCTTCATCATCATCATCATCATCGTCATCATCGTCGTCAACATCATCATAATCGTATTGTCTACATCACTGCTAATGAATGTTGTCAAACTATTCTACTTCACAGAATACCGCGACCTTTGCCCTGATACGCCCTGTGAGAATGGTGGGATGTGCATAGTTAGTACCCTCGGTGAATACCAATGTCACTGCGCGGATGGATACTCGGGTGAACGTTGTGGTATGTATATTAAAGCCCCACTGTACTACGTAGCTACTTGCTCCCTCTATATAGAAAACAACGTCTAATCGGTGACCATTGCCCCCCCCCCCCATGATCCTCTTTTTCTTATGTTTATTGAGAGCTGAGTTGATGAGATAGCCACCTTTCAGTGACTACCCTGGGTTGTCTAATCCCTCCTAGCCAAACTAGGACAGACGGGCTTTAAACGCACTGTCCTGTATGTAACGCCTCATGGCATACATCTTGATGCTCGTGTCTGTTTTTGTTTACTGAACGCTGCTAAAAAAAATTGAAAAGGAGGCCTCTGGATCCACCAACCCAAGAACGACCGAAGGAGACTGAACTTAACAACCGAACGTGACTGCACGGTCCTGCTCCATATCCACATTAGAGACAGAACTTGTGCAAATGACCCCAAATACGTACCCACAGATATTTAACGCATCAAGACGTCCCAATTTGTGCATTTTCGAATTCTCACTGCCGATGTGATGGAGAGGCTTCATGAATACCTTTTGTATCCCCTCTTGAAAAGAATACTTCCACCGTTTTCACTCATGTATAATATAGAATTTACCGCTGGGGCGTAAATGAATAATGATTAAATAACTTTTATGAACGCATATCGAACAGACGTCTCGATAAGTTTTAAAGTATGGCATAAATGACGGTGAGTGTACCCCACACGTACTGTATAGGGTCTAAACAGCAAAGTCCGTGATTCAAAATATGAATATAGAATCTCGGACATGTCTACGTCTTGAATACTCGTCCTATGGCGTGGCTTCGAGATTTAAACAATCAACGATGACGATATAAAATTATGTATGGTAAATCATGATGACGATGATGATAGTAGTAACAACAGCTCTGTAATAAATGTTATTTGTTGATTATAACTTGATCGTTACAGAGACTGAAGTCTGTCCTGATCAATTCTGCCAGAACAATGGTACATGCGTGCATGTAAATGGAGACAACTATTGCAACTGCCTTGTTGGATGGGAAGGAACAAATTGTGGTAAGTATGATTTTTAAAATCCAATTTTTACTTGAAAGTAAATTTTAAGGTAGAAAGAACTGTTTCTTCTTTCCAAGTTAGGGCTATGATTGCATGTGATAAATTGTCAACTGTAAGTAGGAACAATTAATACAATAAAAATGGTGCTGCCGCTTACATTTCCTAACTACAAACAGATCGAACCAGAAACATATTGAAATAGATAATACATGTGCATATATTTATGCAGATTCATTTTGTATGACATTTATTTTGATTGACGAGTCTTAAAGATATTTGATAGATTGTTTTCAGGACGACGATTCTCTTCTTTTCAACTTATATTGGAAGGAAAGTACAAATACATTTCCATTTAAGTTCAGATCGTTTGTTAGTATTAATTGTAATTAACATATAAAGTAAGCTTTATACTATCTAAGTCCAGCTTAAAATATACAATACAATCATGGTTCTAAGCACCACGTAGAAGAGTAGCTGGTAGAGGAGCAGATTTATTCAGGTTTTATTACACAAATGTCAAATTAATATTATTTGAACGATGAATTAATGATCACCATGATTTTCCTACAGAGATGGCTATTTCGACAGCCTGTGAGAATCTCACACCATGCTTGAACGGCGGTACATGTTACAATGTGGGATCAAATGAATATACCTGCGTCTGCCCAGCGGACTTTACTGACACGAACTGCGGAAGATCAGGTAGGGTACTTCTACTACTACTCATCATGCGCCTCATGATAGTAACACTAGATAGATAGCATAATATGATCATGGCGTGATATGCTGATATGCATTTAACAACAAATACACCAATAATGGTAATAATAAAAATAAAAATAACAATATAATAATGATAACAATGGTACTAATAATGAAAATAATTAAATTCAAAATTTAAGATTCAACATTATTTCATTGGTCCATGCATGCAAACATTACATAGAAATTTTGCTTCCAATGGCTTTTTCTACAGTGAAAATACATATGATAGAAAATACAATACAAAATTCAACAATAGTACGATGTACATTAATATGGATAATTATTTATAATGTGCATGTGCCACTCAATTTTCATATTTCATATAATGATGATGATAGTAAAAGTAATAATAATGATGATGATAACAACAATAATCATAATACTGACAACAAAGGCAAATATGATATTAATAATAATAATAATAATAATAACATCAACAATTATAATTGTAATAATGATACTACATCTGCTGCTCATTTTAACTATCATTATTATGAACAATACTCTTATTAATCTTTTCACTATAAATTGTTGTAGAAGTAGCAATAGTAATTATATTCTTTGAAAAAACACTCAAGAATGTACAATAACTCCCATTTTGGTATGTATTACATGTATGTGACAAAAAATGCAATTTAATTTTGTATCTAAGTGAAGTGATATGATGATTAAAAAATTTCGTATCTTTTGTATTCCTTTGCAGTTGTAAGCGATCCTTGCGTGGTTCTCGTCCCTTGCGACAATAACGGCCTTTGTCTCTATCTGGGAGCATCTTACGACATCGATTTCGTGTGTGTCTGTACAGCAGGATTTACCGGACCATTCTGCAGCGAGGGTAAGATCATTTATCCGCGAATGTAGCCTCTTTGATTTCGAAATGGAATAATCAAACAACAAGCAATAATTATTATCGCTTTTGTAGTTAACTTATGTTTCCTCGCTGTGAGTGCTGTGAATAAATAATAGAAATGATGTACATGAATTCATAGACAGACGTGTAGTATGGGCGGACGTACCTCTCCCAGAGAGCAAGCAAAATGGGGAGGGGAGGGAGGAAAAGAATAACTAATAAAAGGCGTACAAAAGAGAAAAGCAAAAGAAATATGTCACGAGACCCCCCCCCCCCCTCCCCCGAGACCCTAGTAGTAATAACAGTAGTAGTAGTAATAATAGACGAATCATTATTGTTACCATTATTATTGTGCATGCGTGAATAATATTACTATGGTCAGGTCTCTGACCGGAAAGGTCAGTCATTTCATTACCCTTTTCGATGATGGCGTTTTGTCTCTTTTCATGTTTTGTTATCGATGCATATCTTTATGTCTCTACTCTCCCTTCTTCTCCCTATTTCCACTATTATAGAGCTCAATCCCTGTGCGAACTTTGTGTGCTTTAACGGCGGTTCTTGTTTCATAAATGGTTATGTACCTTACTGCTCCTGCTCAGATGGCTGGACGGGGACCTATTGCAATGTTTGTAAGTGATTTTGCAAGAAATACATATTCCCTATTTTAACTTCCTACTAAAATTTAGAAACTGAATGACCGTCAGAATATCTTTATCCATGTCCATGTATGGAATAAACCACTTTGCAATGGTATATGTCTTTATTTACATGAAGCCTCCGAATCACAAATGACTAACGAAAATTGTGTTGTAAGGCCATTTGAGGCTTTATTTCTCATTTCACCTGTTCACGATAAATATTACAGGCTAATATTTCTTTAAATTCTTTATTTTTGTGCATGTTTCCACATGGGTCTCCAATTATTTGTATTTGTTTATAGATATTGTTATAACATAGAATAACATTTAATAGTTGTCATCTTACTTGCGATATTCAATATTAAAACACCAACTCTCTCTCTCTCTCTCTCTCTCTTTCTTTCTCAGCCTCTATGACAACCTCGAATCCATGTGAAACGGTTGACCCATGTTTGAACGGAGGCGTATGTTTGTCTGGGGAAAACGGTCTCTACTGTGTCTGCACAAGCTCATGGACTGGAATATATTGCGGTATTGAAATCTAAATTATTTTCATTTCCCTTTAGCATGCGGGCCCTTTTCATAATTATTCGCTAAATATTTTATGTGGAAGGCTTGTAATAACCTTTTAACCCCTTGACTATTGCATTCTGTCATTGTCAGGTTCCCGTAGCCATGTGGTTAACCTATTTTTTAAAATAAATATTGGTCTGCAGATGTTACAAGTAATTTAAGAATACAAACTTACCTTTCACCAAAAGCGAAGAATATCGGTAATTCCTCCTTTGTTATTTTAATCTTCTTCTTTTTCACAAAATAGTACGTTGAATGATAAGAGAAGAATTGAAAACGTAACACAAGTGCAATGCATCTGGTAAAATGCATAAAGCATATGAGCAAAACTTCATTATGCAGATGTAAACTAACTGAAGCAGGAAATTGTAAGAAGCTGGAGATAGAAGTATATTAGAAGATTAAGAAGTGACTAATACTTTGGGCACTGATCCACTACTCAACGTATGTATGACCTTATATCAACACTTCTTTTGATAGTTCTCTTGTTTATAATTTGCTTTCAGAATCGTCACTGGTTGACTATTGTGTAGTTGAACCATGTCTTAATGATGGTGTATGCATCTCACTTACAACTACTCATACCTGCGTGTGTCGAGTAGGCTGGACGGAAACCTACTGCCGTAAGTACCAAATGAAGATGAATTATATTTAATTAAATATAATAAATTGATAAAAAGCTGATATTCTGAATTTGATATTGATCCAATTACCATTCTTTTTAGGGGGAATTAAAGTTCATTCATAATAATTTGCCTTTGCAGTCTGTTACGGCTGGCTTCCTCCAACCGTATTTCCATGTCCCTTGCTTACACAACAGAAGAAAAAGTTACACAAAGTGGTTATGATCCAGGAACCATTGTCGAATCTTCTTATAAGAACCATTGTAAAACAAAAACAAAACCAACTCGTCCAGAGAACGAGTGTGTATAAAAATCGGCCTATACATCCATCACACAGTCGTCTTCATATTACTTCAGACGTTAACTTGTGAAAGGCATGGCTACTTAAATATTACACACATACAGGCATATATTTGAAATATGCTTTACAAGGAAAGGAAGAAACTAGATTCGCAGAGCAAAGTTGAATGAAATAGAAATCATCTTCTAATTCGTCAATGCATTATGCTGCATCAGTTTATAGAACAAGGATATACACAATGAAAACTTCCTCTCTCGTTTATGCTGATCTACTGTCATCTTATTTTTATGTCTGTTGTAAAATCAAGCTATTAAACCTATCAGGATTTCATTATGGTTATAAGCTTATTGAACATGAAAAGTAACTATAATATTTTCACCCTTCTCCTTTCATAGAAACATCGCTGTCAGTAGCATGTGAAGAACGGACGCCGTGTGAAAATGGAGCCATCTGCCAAAATGAAGGCCTCGATGATTACTCATGCGCGTGTGGAGACGGGTGGAAAGGAACCAACTGTGAAGTTGGTAAGAATTAATTAACTTATTGAATACTAGAATCTCGTTTGTCGTTGTACCTTTGTTTGAAAAACGTATGTATCCATCATTAATTTGTTGTACATTTACTTATACTGTTTTATGTTTTCATAAAAATTGAATAACTGCTTTATTTGAAGAAAAAAAAAGAAAAATTAATCATTTATCAGTCATATTCAACATAAATATATAAAATAGACTTGTTCTTGTATGTTGAATAGCACTTTGTATATTTCGAGGTTTTGAAACCACTTTAAATTGCAATGTCTTGCTGAATATCAGAGGCAATGACAAATCAGGTAACAGAGCCATGATTGGTCAGAGTAAAGAATAAATAAATATTTGAGGCTCTCCTACTCAATGTAGACCCTCCGATAATTCCACACTATATGACTGCTAGCATGAATATCATATATCGATCAAAGTGAACAGATATTCAGTCCAAGATGACAATATTAATCCAAGTTATGACGCATTTGCCATTAAAACACCATTACAATTGTTGCCTATTTTCCCTTTTCCGTAGATGTAAACGAGTGTGTGAACACTGGAATATGTGGACAAGGGGAATGTATAAATACAGATGGATCTTATGAATGCGATTGCTTTGATAACTGGACGGGAGATAACTGTGGTAAGAAGGAATCAAATCAATCTCATTTATTGTATACAGGCTGTATTTACGTTTTAAGTATGGCCTTCGTCCAATGCCATAAGATCATTGCAAGAAAAAGGAACTACCTTAAAGTACTCTTCTTCCCCGATGCCATCTGAACAAACAAAAAAGTCATTTGTAAAATTTGTTTTGTAACTTTGTTCTTTACCTGAGTGAATACATAGATAAATATAAGTCTTGCCAAAATGTTTATAGTAATTGTTTCAAATAACTGCATAAAATGTATAATTAAGTAGCTAATGTAAGAGAATATGTGGGGTGGGGTGATGACATGCAGAAATATATATGATATAGATTATTGATATACTGTTTTCCTTCATAACATTATCTGTATCGCTAATGCTCTCTGATAATGATGATGCTAATATAACCTGACTGCAAAGAAAGCAAATCTGTGCTTACACTCTCAGTTAAGCAACATGTGTGTATTTCATTAGGTCTTAAAGGTTCGAACTTTTGATGAGACACGTGGTTTTAGGACTTGTCAATATTGATAAACTCCAGTTCTGGTAAAAAAAAAGAAAAGAAAATTAATTCTCACAGAATCATAGGAAACTTACACTGAATGTTCAAGATTACAAATAAATGACATGTGCCAAACAATTTTGCAAGAAAATATATACTGGCTGAGTAATGAGCATAGAAAGACAAGGAAATCAAGGTAGTACTAGCCCCGACATCATGTGTGTTGTCCCATATATAGCTTTCTGTGTACAGTGCTTGTTACTTTACCAAGACTCGGCCAAATTTATTATGATTTTGAAGACTCCAGAACCTTGCAGTGCACACCAATACTTGCATGCTACATGATCAACTGTTTCTGATCCATTTCACACCTTTTCTTTCACAATGCAATCGCATGACCAGAACTCAAGTTTATCTTTAAAGTTCTATCAAATTGTGCTTCCTAACGCAGATATGCAGCTGCCTTACTGTACAACAAACCCTTGTCTTAATGGAGGGTCGTGTGTGGATCATGCGAAAGATCTCGATTCCTATACGTGTAACTGCACGACGGGTTGGAATGGTGACCAGTGTCAAACAGGTATGGTATTATTACGTGTCTACGTATACTGCAGGCAAACCTGTTATAGTGACCACCTGTATAGAAAGACCACCTGTCTACAAAGACCACATTTTTGTTTTCCCTCGAAAATGGTTTCTCTTTGAAACATGTACTAAAGGAACCTGTACATAAAGACCATCTGTCTATAAAGACCTCTTTGCTTGTCCTCCTTGGGTGGTCATTATAGACAGGTTACACTGTATATACAATTGTTTTCATTTAGCACAACATCCAGGACAATATCACACAATGCGCTTTACATAAGTTATTGATGATAAACAGACAAACAAAATAAGAAAAATAAATAAACAATTTTAAGTTATTGAAAAGGTATGGATAAGGTTAATCTTAAAATAGTTAATGGAAGTGGAAGTAGGAACAAAAGACGGGAGAGTTACTATAAGAGTTACCCCCCCCCCCCCACCCCCATTTTGAGTTGATGCGTGGCACCAGTAGGAGTATATGATCATCCTACACTAGATAATTGATTGTTATTTCCATGGTGACTGTATATCGAAAAATAAATGAACTTTCAATTATGAAAAGATTATATTCAATTCTTGCTGTTAATGTGTCCCATGACATCAATTTGATTTCATTTGATTTAATATGATCTAGCATACAAGATTTCTTCTCAGTAAACATAAATGAGAATACAATTATTTATTATGTATACTCGTTGTTAGGAAGTATCTAAAGGGGGAGAAAAGGGCGAGAAATACCTCGGAACGTACACAATTTGGTGGTACGAATGGCATTTCAATAATTGCTTTACTATCCCTTGTTTATGGTCAATCAACAGACAGTAAGTTGAATCACACATCGTTGAATCTTTTCTGTAATTGTGGTTTGTGTGATATACTTTTGCCATTATTTACGAAATTAAGATTGATTTCTTGTTCAAAAAGCAACTTCTTTGGACTAACTGTTTTTGGATTGGTCATCGAACAACAACTTAATTTGCTCTTAAATTTAACTCCAGACTTGTATGACAGTTCTGTTGGATAATTTCCTATAAAATTTCAGCCGATACGTCATACTCCTCCTCTTTTTTTATCCCTGTGATTTTCTGTGATTTTCTAAAAAAAAAATTCTGTAAATAATTCAAATGAAACTAAATATACAGTGTAAAATATTTTGCTTTGTATTGTTCTGTTTTTTTTATTAACATAATTTAGATATCAATGAATGCGAAAGGACGTCACCAGTCTGTGGAGACAGTGGGACCTGTATCAATACTGACGGATCATTCTTCTGTGACTGCTTGGAAGGGTTTGGAGGAGACTTATGTGATGTACAAGGTAATGATATTAATAATAGCAGCGGACCCAGAGGTAGGCCGAATCCCCCACCCTCAATTTAGAAAATAGTGTAGCGGGAAATTTGTTTAAATTAACGTTCTAGGAAAAGATTATCTCGACCCTACCTTTTTGAAAATTCTTGAGCCGCCCTAAATATCTTAATATATCAATTTATCATCGCTGGCGTTATGAAAGCAATGGGGAAAACATTGGTGACGGTCTTCTTATTATCAGCGGCATTGGTAATGATTTAAGATACATAATTGATATATATAGTAAATGAATTGATGAATACGTGACTACGTAAATCTCATGGGTCAACATTTTAATGTTGTAGGATGAGAGAGAATGTATTCTCTATTAAGAGATCAATCAATGATATCTTTAATGATAATTGAAAGGATTTAAAACCCTTAAAGAAAACGTAGAGATCACACCTACTATATAATCACCGAGCATTTCAGCGCCACGTATGCAGTATGACGTGTTCTTACCTATCTGTCTTCCAGTTTTATGTGTGTACCCTATCTTATATCGACTCACTTTCTTTCTTTTTTCATTATAGCTGCAAGCTCTGCATTATCTTCTGGTAAGTTGTATTCATGGTTTCTTGTTAACAAACAAAGTCATTGTTAGCAGCGGTATTCCCGTTGTGATGATGTACATGATGTTTCTGTCAAGAAGGCATTCTAGTAGAACAAACAAAACTGTCTAAAATCAAAATATGATTTTGCCTCAACGGTTGCAAGTTGCTACTTCATTAAATTTCTCTTATTCCATTGTTTGAATCTAACTTTGGCTCTATGTGATAAACCTCTTTCTTTGTGTCTTTGCTTTTTTAATAATTACTATTGTTGAAGAGAAAACATGTTCAGTTTAATTTGTGTCATAGTGTAGTGAATCGTTGATATCATAGCAATTGTAGAATGGGATATGGCGCTTGAAAATATCTCTGGATATATTTACAGTATAAAAAATCGATTTGATTATTTTTCTTATGATTTGAGATTTTCATATCATTTATTCCGTTACAGACCAGATCATCATAATTGGAGCCGCCTCAGGAGGCCTTCTGTTAATCGTCATTATCATCGTAATCTGCGCTTGTATTTGTTCAAGGTATATAATTACCCCTCTCTTGTCCCTTGTCAGTATTTATATTGGTTTGTAATTATGAGCTTCTATTTTGAGTTTTGTGCTAATTGAGGCTAGCGGATTCGTGAACGAATATTTACAAAGGACACCTTGATGCCCCTTTTGATTGCCCCAAGGACTTAAGTTTGTAGAATATTGTCCTATTTTGTTCTAAGTGTATTTGTCCAAATATTAAGGTATTATAAAAGTTATAATAATAATGTTCGTAATAACTTGATCATGTCATTTTGTGAGATCACTTAATTCATTGATTGATGGTATATTTGTACATGTACGTGATTTCTTATTATCTTTTTGCGATTTGTATATAGAAATTCAGCTTCAAAGAGAGGGAACGCCCAAGATAATATCGACGGTCTGGGGCAGCCCAGACCACATGGCATAGCACACGAAAATCCCGCGTACGAACCCGATCATACGTCACCGTCCGAACCACCTCCGGAATACGAACCGATGGGCAAATTTCCTTCGCCTTCTTCAACGATTCGGTTATCACCGGATAATGCTTATCAAATCCCGGATGCGGGCATACGAAGCTCTCCGTCGGTTGCAACTAACGGATATCTACGGCCCATGGATGCCGGTGTATCGCCGGGTCCTGAAAAGAAGGAGTTTCCGGGTTATCAGAACTATTTGACACCCAATGCAGATACAGATTCGAGTCACTATCTGCCTATGGACGAGGGGAGGAATAGCGGTCATGCAGAAGGAGATGAATATCATATTTATGAGGCACTACCAGATGATGCTCTGTATGATGAACTAAAAGAATAAGAGACTCATTTATAGAACGAATGACATCAACACAGTCCTGTTCTCGTGATTCGCAGTCTGTTGAAGAGATCAGACTCTGTCTGAAACTTTATAATTTGATGCGAGCAACAGATTGTTGAGAATATGATATTTAGATCCCCCACTCTCTTAAATTGTAAACATCTTATCAGTCACCTGTCTCAAATATATTTTATACTGATGTAATTGTATAACTATTCCATATATTATCTACTTTTTAATGATTATCTAGAATTAGACGCGCGATTTGAAATATTTTATTCTAAAACATTTGCTACTTTTTTATAGTCCTCTCACATCAATTTCCGTTAGTTTCAATGAAGGAAGGTGAAACTTATTTATCTTTTTATTTCATTTTTGTTGTTGTATATATCGTGCAATGGCGACAATTGCCAGTTCAGGTATCAACAGATTATTGTTGAAAGCTGGTCACACCAGCAGTCCATGCAAGGAGAGCCCCAAATAGACCAATCAAATTAGTTCCCTGCTGCTCAGATGAATTTATGTACCACTTATTAAAAACAAAAGTAGCTAAACATTTATATTAAACAAAGTCATGTAATATAAGAAATGTGTGGAGCACACAAGGTAATATGAAAGTGTACACTTTTTATCGGAGAAAGTTAACAGTGCATGACACAAGAGCAAATAGATCTAAAAGCGAACATCACTATGAATATGACGGAAAAAGAAAGAGGACAAAATATACAGTTCCTCAGGTAGACAAAGGAACATACCTTCACTGCTATTATGTACAAATGTGTACAACAGGTGCCACATGCATATTCACCAGTTCTACACATTTTTGCATAAAAGCAGTGAAGGGGTATTTCTTTGTCTACATGAGGAACTGTAGATTTTGTCCTCTTTCTTTGTCCGTAATGTTCATAGTGCATGACCCTACCAGCTCATAAATCACAAGCGCTCCATGCACTTGATTCACCGATATTTAACCAAGACATGCAAGAATGCGTGATTATTTATACTTTTATTTTACAATGACTAGACTGTATGTCCGGAACATTTTATTCGCAAATTGTATAAACTTGTCATGCAATCAAAAGGTATCAGAAAATGACTGTATACATTTACCAATGTGGATTGGGTAGAGGGCTGATTCCTCATCGTAACAACAACAAAAAAGAGAAATAATTTGTATTTTAATTTGTACAGAAATCATTGTTTATAATATGTTATATAATCAATGTTGTAAAGATATTCAGATATAATCCATTCATTACTCATTACTTATTATAATTATTAATTATTATAATTATACAACTTTGCAAACTTTACCAAATCAATGAGACAAAGATGTGAGGAAGTGAAAGTATACATTTCAAAAGAGATTGATAGAGAGAGAGAGAGATGGAGGGAGAGAGAGAGAGAGAGAGAGAAGTTCCTGTTCATGGATTATGTGGAAAAAAATCTCATTTTATTTGTACAACTCGTTTATTGATCTTTTACGATATAACGGTAAACACAATAAATGTCATTCTTAAATGTAAGTATAAACAGGGTTGTTGCATCTTCTTATTTGTTTTACTAATCATTTTTGTTTTTCTAATGGAATAAGAAAGTGTGATGAAAGTCCCTGAGAATATAAAGGTAAAAAAGAGAAGTTTATTAATCATGGTCTAATTCTATTCTGGACTCCACAATAAGTGGAAATTAAATGTTGGTAGATACAATTTTTGGCTGCCGAAAATCTAGCTTTTATCCCCCGAAACGAAGCAGGATCTATTTTTGTGTGCTTGTGTCCTCTCAGTCTAGTGCCTTCACTTGGCAGAGGCAAATCCAGCAAAGGACCCCCCCCCCCCCCAACCCGAGAAGATGAACACAACTTGAAATAGGTAATAAGATTCCAATCAAATACCTCAGTTTTATTTTGTGAAGAAGGCGTTTTATATAAGGCTGCTCCAAATCTTTAAAATATCCCATATTCAGTGATATTTGCAGATTGAAATAGCAACTTTTCAGGATTCATTCCCTATATCATCAATACACCCTACTTGAATTATTTCAGGTTGCATATTTATTTGGTTTAAAAAAAACCCTCATTATGTCATTCCAAGGATAATTTGTTAACCTGGGGATTAACGAAATTGTGTTCCCGTAGTTATGAAAATGGCGTGTTTTTATATATGCATAATGTACGTAATCAATAAACAACTGAAATAATCACACCCTTACCACGTTTTGTGGATTTTCAAGTTTGTGAAAATTGATTCGTCCTGATTAATGTTTCTTTGTAATGTAACATATTGAAGCTATATTAAATGAATTTATCAACGTCCCTAATTTAAAAAGTCCAGCTTTCATTCTTAAGTTACGAAAAAACACAAAAAACGTCAATTTTCATAGGTTATGAATAATTAAGTTCTTAACTATATACAGTATATATTCATACAGTAGTAAAGCTTGACATACATATCGTCATTTAATGTCACTCTCATCGTATTTAAAGCAAGCAATATTATATTTGATAAGTCATTTTAACTAATACTACAATTACGTCATTTTACATACGGCTGTCCGGAATGCATCATCAGCGGATGGTTATTTCTAATCAATATCTATACCTGGTTTGAATACCGTCGTAATGTCATTATGTTTCGTGATTATCATCATGTCGATTTTTTTTCTTCTTCATTCTTTTATCGGGAGAGGAGAGTAAAAACATTCTTCTCTTACACTTGAGACTACAATAATTCAAATGAATAAATGAACGAACACGCAAGCCTTTTGTCATTATCAGGTCACTTTTTATTTCTTTATTCAGGAATGACAAACAAATCATACGATTTCATAAAGCAACTGCTCGAGGAGCATTTGGGCGATGGTCTAATTATTAACACCATCGTCATCCACTGCGCAGAACGACAAGTCCGTTGTGCTGACGTTGGTCTCTTCAAAGAGATCCCACGTAAAGTTCGATAGTTCAGAGACTGTGGTAAAACTCGACATATCGTCATCATCGTCGCTCTAAACGTATTTAAAGCAAGCAATATTATATTTGATAAGTCATTTTAACTAATACTACAATTACGTCATTTTACATACGCCTGTCCGGCATGCATCATCAGCGGATGGTTATTTCTCATCAATATCTATAACTGGTTTGAATACCGTCGTATTGTAATTGTGTTTCGTGATTATCGTTGTGTAGAACTTTAAAAAAAAATTTTTTTTTTATGTTCATTCTCTTATAAGGAGAGGAGAGTAAAAACAATCTTCTCTTACACTTGAGACTACAATGATTCAAAAGAATAAATGAACGAACACACAAGCCTTTTGTCATTCTCAAGTCACTTTTTATTTCTTTATTCAGGAAATCATACGATTTCGTAAAGCAACTGCTCGAGGAGCATTTGGGCGATGGTATAATTATCAACACCGTCGTCATCCACTGCGCAGAACGACAAGTCCATTGTGCTGACGTTGGTCTCTTCGAAGAGATCCCACGTAAAGTTCGATAGTTCAGAGACTGTGGTAAAACTCGACATATCGTCATCATCGTCGCTCTCACCGAATAGCGAAGACCAGTCAGAGATTGAACTCAAGTTGTCGTCATCATCACCGTCATCATCAGACACGGCTGAAGGAACGACCAATTGTGGTTTGGTGTCGATGTTGCAGTACTCTTCAACTTTAGTAATTTCGTAGTTGGATGCTCCACTAACAAGGTGGAACTGCAAGATAAAAGAAGAAAAGAGAGTGAAGAGCTGAATTATGCTTGAGAATGAACCACTTGATTTCCAGTCAAAATAGCAAAGGGAACTCAAAAATCAACTCTAGTCTAGAATCAACACCCCCAAAATGTGCAGTATATTCTGTCTATTAAATACACTACTAGGCGTGGCATTGATTCTTGATACAATTTAAGAAGGGGATTCGACTTTTGTTATTGTTCGAAGCGATTTACTTACCAATGCAATATCATCAACTGTCACTGCGACTGGACGTTCGTCATCAATAGATGCTGTAAACAATAATGAGAATATAGTAATGTCAATCTGTTAGCCGCACATCGCTTTTCGCTCATTCTTTTGTTTTCGTACAAAATCATCGTTTCTTGGTTTTAAAATGACAAGACCTCCATCTCGTTTGAGTGGGTTTATACTTACAAGCTTTCGTTAAACACCGATTCCACCCGCCCCCCCCCCCCCTCCCCCCATTATTTGTTGAGAATACATCTTTATATTTTAGAATGCCATCTATCCCCTCTAACTCATTCTTTTATTTACCTCGAACGCAGCAGCATAATTTTCGAAAACCTTTGGTCACTGTCTTTCTGAATCGACCAAAGAATCGACGCCTTCTCATAGATTGATTTGGCATTGTGAAGCAAGCAAGATGTACAGACATCTGGATGCGAGGGGAGTTCAATAAAGAATGAAGCATTAGCAACACACTTTCTTGAAATGTAAACATACCGGCGCGCAACGCATTATGATGTCACGCGAGTCCAGAGATTGCTTGGTTACTGCGTGCTGATTGGATCAAAGTTTGCGCGGCGCGCCAGTATCATTGTGAAGTCACATCTTTAATGCTAGGACAGTTTACGCATTGACCCATATTAGTGGGGGCGCGGCCCTTTGGACGAGGGAAAGCATTATGTCGTCATATCTAATTAACGCTTGTCAGAATGCGCATCCTTTGGGTGCAGGAGATCATTGTGATGTCACATCTTTTAAAACGCCTGTAAAGATAGCTCTTCGCTCTGTAGGCAATAGCGCCGTTTTTTATTTTTCTAGAGGGGGGGGGGGGGGGGGGGGGGCTGCAGGTGGGACTAATGGGGGTGGGTTTGGACAGTTCATGCTTCTGACTGAAAAAAACTGTTTTTAATGCTGGTAAAGATAAAGCATTTCCAGATGACTAGGGGAGGGGGGGGGGAGGTGTGTTGGCATTGTGGAGATTTGAAATGATAAAGATTATACTACATGCATGTGCGCTCCTTAACTCGCTTAGATATTGCATTCGGATAGAGCAGAATGAGCCGAATAAGTTTCATTTGGTGACCGATTTGGTCTTTAGCAAAGCGCCATCTTATTAGATCATCATGGCTCGATCTGGTAGCCAGGCCCAGTTTGGCCTTCTCACTTCTTTAAAGTGCACTGTAGCAAAGATGGGCCGCAGATCATGTAGTCCCTTTGAAATAAATCAACGTGATCAAGGCACAAAAAATACAACCAGAGCGAAAAATCTTAAAGAGTGCGACGTCCAAACAGTATCTGCTATTTCATAGATTTACAGCAGGCAATATTCTTTTTTATTAAGTCATTTTTAGATAGGCTACAATTACGTCATTTTACATACGCCTGTCCGGCATGCAACATCAGCGGATGGTTATTTCTCATCAATATCTATAACTGGTTTGAATACCGTCGTATTGTCATTGTGTTTCGTGATTATCATCGTGTAGAACTTTTTTTTGTTTTTTTGTTTTGTTCATTCTCTTATCAGGAGAGGAGAGTAAAAACATTCTTCTCTTACACTTGAGACTACAATGATTCAAGAGAATAAATGAACGAACACACAAGCCTTTTGTCATTCTCAAGTCACTTTTTATTTCTTTATTCAGGAAATCATACGATTTCGTAAAGTAACTCCTCGAGGAGCATTTGGGCGATGGTATAATTATCAACACCGTCGTCATCCACTGCGCAGAACGACAAGTCCTTTGTGCTGACGTTGGTCTCTTCGAAGAGATCCCACGTAAAGTTCGATAGTTCAGAGACTGTGGTAAAACTCGACATATCGTCATCATCGTCGCTCTCATCGAATAGCGAAGACCAGTCAGAGATTGAACTCAAGTTGTCGTCATCATCACCGTCATCATCAGACACGGCTGAAGGAACGACCAATTGTGGTTTGGTGTCAATATTGCAATTCTCTTCAACTTTAGTAATTTCGTAGTTGGATGCTCCACTAACAAGGTGGAACTGCAAGATAAAAAAAGGGAAAGAGAGTGAAGAGCTGAATTATGCTTGAGAATGAACCACTTGATTTCCAGTCAAAATAGCAAAGGGAACTCAAAAGTCATCTCTAGTCTAGAATCAACACCTCCCAAAATGTGCAGTTTGTTCTGTCTATTAAATACACTACTAGGCGTGGCATTGATTATTGATACAATTTTAGAAGAGGATTCGACTTTTGTTATTGTTTGAAGCGATTTACTTACCAATGCAATATCATCAACTGTCACTGCGACTGGACGTTCGTCATCAGTAGATGCTGTAAACAATAATGAGAATATAGTAATGTCAATCTGTTAGCCGCACATCGCTTTTCGCTCATTCTTTTGTTTTCGTACAAAATCATCGTTTCTTGGTTTTAAAATGACAAGACCTCCATCTCGTTTAAGTGGGTATATACTTACAAGCTTTCGTTAAACACCGATTCCACCCGCCCCCCCCCCCCCCATTATTTGTTGAGAATACATCTTTATATTTTAGAATGCCATCTATCCCCTCTAACTCATTCTTTTATTTACCTCGAACGCAGCAGCATAATTTTCGAAAACCTTTGGTCACTGTCTTTCTGAATCGACCAAAGAATCGACGCCTTCTCATAGATTGATTTGGCATTGTGAAGCAAGCAAGATGTACAGACATCTGGATGCGAGGGGAGTTCAATAAAGAATGAAGCATTAGCAACACATTTTCTTGAAATGTAAACATACCGGCGCGCAACGCATTATGATGTCACGCGAGTCCAGAGATTGCTTGGTTACTGCGCGCTGATTGGATCAAAGTTTGCGCGGCGCGCCAGTATCATTGTGAAGTCACATCTTTAATGCTTGGACAGTTTACGCATTGACCCATATTAGTGGGGGCGCGGCCCTTTGGACGAGGGAAAGCATTATGTCGTCATATCTAATTAACGCTTGTCAGAATGCGCATCCTTTGGGTGCAGGAGATCATTGTGATGTCACATTTTTTAAAACGCCTGTAAAGATAGCTCTTCGCTCTGTAGGCAATAGCGCCGTTTTTTATTTTTCTAGAGGGGGGGGGGGGCTGCAGGTGGGACTAATGGGGGCGGGTTTGGACAGTTCATGCTTCTGACTGAAAAAAAAAACTGTTTTTAATGCTGGTAAAGATAAAGCATTTCCAGATCACTAGGGGAGGGGGGGGGGGGAGGTGTGTTGGCATTGTGGAGATTTGAAATGATAAAGATTACAACATGCATGTGCGCTCCTTAACTCGCTTAGATATTGCATTCGGATAGAGCAGAATGAGCCGAATAAGTTTCATTTGGTGACCGATTTGGTCTTTAGCAAAGCGCCATCTTATTAGATCATCATGGCTCGATCTGGTAGCCAGGCCCAGTTTGGCCTTCTCACTTCTTTAAAGTGCACTGTAGCAAAGATGGGCCGCAGATCATGTAGTCCCTTTGAAATAAATCAACGTGATCAAGGCACAAAAAATACAACCAGAGCGAAAAATCTTAAAGAGTGCGACGTCCAAACAGTATCTGCTATTTCATAGATTTACAGCAGGCAATATTCGTTTTTATTAAGTCATTTTAGATAGGCTACAATTACGTCATTTTACATACGCCTGTCCGGCATGCAACATCAGCGGATGGTTATTTCCCATCAATATCTATAACTGGTTTGAATACCGTCGTATTGTCATTGTGTTTCGTGATTACCATCGTGTAGAACTTTTTTTTTGTTTTTTTTTTTTTTTTCATTCTCTTATCAGGAGAGGAGAGTAAAAACATTCTTCTCTTACACTTGAGACTACAAAAATTCAAGAGAATAAATGAACGAACACACAAGCCTTTTGTCATTCTCAAGTCACTTTTTATTTCTTTATTCAGGAAATCATACGATTTCGTAAAGCAACTGCTCGAGGAGCATTTGGGCGATGGTATAATTATCAACACCGTCGTCATCCACTGCGCAGAACGACAAGTCCTTTGTGCTGACGTTGGTCTCTTCGAAGAGATCCCACGTAAAGTTCGATAGTTCAGAGACTGTGGTAAAACTCGACATATCGTCATCATCGTCGCTCTCATCGAATAGCGAAGACCAGTCAGAGATTGAACTCAAGTTGTCGTCATCATCACCGTCATCATCAGACACGGCTGAAGGAACGACCAATTGTGGTTTGGTGTCAATATTGCAATTCTCTTCAACTTTAGTAATTTCGTAGTTGGATGCTCCACTAACAAGGTGGAACTGCAAGATAAAAAAAGGGAAAGAGAGTGAAGAGCTGAATTATGCTTGAGAATGAACCACTTGATTTCCAGTCAAAATAGCAAAGGGAACTCAAAAGTCATCTCTAGTCTAGAATCAACACCCCCAAAATGTGCAGTTTGTTCTGTCTATTAAATACACTACTAGGCGTGGCATTGATTATTGATACAATTTTAGAAGAGGATTCGACTTTTGTTATTGTTTGAAGCGATTTACTTACCAATGCAATATCATCAACTGTCACTGCGACTGGACGTTCGTCATCAATAGATGCTGTAAACAATAATGAGAATATAGTAATGTCAATCTGTTAGCCGCACATCGCTTTTCGCTCATTCTTTTGTTTTCGTACAAAATCATCGTTTCTTGGTTTTAAAATGACAAGACCTCCATCTCGTTTGAGTGGGTATATACTTACAAGCTTTCGTTAAACACCGATTCCACCCGCCCCCCCCCCCCCCCCCCATTATTTGTTGAGAATACATCTTTATATTTTAGAATGCCATCTATCCCCTCTAACTCATTCTTTTATTTACCTCGAACGCAGCAGCATAATTTTCGAAAACCTTTGGTCACTGTCTTTCTGAATCGACCAAAGAATCGACGCCTTCTCATAGATTGATTTGGCATTGTGAAGCAAGCAAGATGTAACAGACATCTGGATGCGAGGGGAGTTCAATAAAGAATGAAGCATTAGCAACACATTTTCTTGAAATGTAAACATACCGGCGCGCAACGCATTATGATGTCACGCGAGTCCAGAGATTGCTTGGTTACTGCGCGCTGATTGGATCAAAGTTTGCGCGGCGCGCCAGTATCATTGTGAAGTCACATCTTTAATGCTTGGACAGTTTACGCATTGACCCATATTAGTGGGGGCGCGGCCCTTTGGACGAGGGAAAGCATTATGTCGTCATATCTAATTAACGCTTGTCAGAATGCGCATCCTTTGGGTGCAGGAGATCATTGTGATGTCACATTTTTTAAAACGCCTGTAAAGATAGCTCTTCGCTCTGTAGGCAATAGCGCCGTTTTTTTTTTTTCTAGAGGGGGGGGGGGGCTGCAGGTGGGACTAATGGGGCGGGTTTGGACAGTTCATGCTTCTGACTGAAAAAAAAACTGTTTTTAATGCTGGTAAAGATAAAGCATTTCCAGATCACTAGGGGAGGGGGGGAGGTGTGTTGGCATTGTGGAGATTTGAAATGATAAAGATTACAACATGCATGTGCGCTCCTTAACTCGCTTAGATATTGCATTCGGATAGAGCAGAATGAGCCGAATAAGTTTCATTTGGTGACCGATTTGGTCTTTAGCAAAGCGCCATCTTATTAGATCATCATGGCTCGATCTGGTAGCCAGGCCCAGTTTGGCCTTCTCACTTCTTTAAAGTGCACTGTAGCAAAGATGGGCCGCAGATCATGTAGTCCCTTTGAAATAAATCAACGTGATCAAGGCACAAAAAATACAACCAGAGCGAAAAATCTTAAAGAGTGCGACGTCCAAACAGTATCTGCTATTTCATAGATTTACAGCAGGCAATATTCTTTTTATTAAGTCATTTTTAGATAGGCTACAATTACGTCATTTTACATACGCCTGTCCGGCATGCATCATCAGCGGATGGTTATTTCTCATCAATATCTATAACTGGTTTGAATACCGTCGTATTGTCATTGTGTTTCGTGATTATCATCGTGTAGAACTTTTTTTTGTTTTTTTGTTTTTCATTCTCTTATCAGGAGAGGAGAGTAAAAACATTCTTCTCTTACACTTGAGACTACAAAAATTCAAGAGAATAAATGAACGAACACACAAGCCTTTTGTCATTCTCAAGTCACTTTTTATTTCTTTATTCAGGAAATCATACGATTTCGTAAAGCAACTGCTCGAGGAGCATTTGGGCGATGGTATAATTATCAACACCGTCGTCATCCACTGCGCAGAACGACAAGTCCATTGTGCTGACGTTGGTCTCTTCGAAGAGATCCCACGTAAAGTTCGATAGTTCAGAGACTGTGGTAAAACTCGACATATCGTCATCATCGTCGCTCTCATCGAATAGCGAAGACCAGTCAGAGATTGAACTCAAGTTGTCGTCATCATCACCGTCATCATCAGACACGGCTGAAGGAACGACCAATTGTGGTTTGGTGTCAATGTTGCAATTCTCTTCAACTTTAGTAATTTCGTAGTTGGATGCTCCACTAACAAGGTGGAACTGCAAGATAAAAAAAGGGAAAGAGAGTGAAGAGCTGAATTATGCTTGAGAATGAACCACTTGATTTCCAGTCAAAAATAGCAAAGGGAACTCAAAAGTCATCTCTAGTCTAGAATCAACACCCCCAAAATGTGCAGTTTGTTCTGTCTATTAAATACACTACTAGGCGTGGCATTGATTATTGATACAATTTTAGAAGAGGATTCGACTTTTGTTATTGTTTGAAGCGATTTACTTACCAATGCAATATCATCAACTGTCACTGCGACTGGACGTTCGTCATCAGTAGATGCTGTAAACAATAATGAGAATATAGTAATGTCAATCTGTTAGCCGCACATCGCTTTTCGCTCATTCTTTTGTTTTCGTACAAAATCATCGTTTCTTGGTTTTAAAATGACAAGACCTCCATCTCGTTTGAGTGGGTATATACTTACAAGCTTTCGTTAAACACCGATTCCACCCGCCCCCCCCCCCCCCCCCCATTATTTGTTGAGAATACATCTTTATATTTTAGAATGCCATCTATCCCCTCTAACTCATTCTTTTATTTACCTCGAACGCAGCAGCATAATTTTCGAAAACCTTTGGTCACTGTCTTTCTGAATCGACCAAAGAATCGACGCCTTCTCATAGATTGATTTGGCATTGTGAAGCAAGCAAGATGTACAGACATCTGGATGCGAGGGGAGTTCAATAAAGAATGAAGCATTAGCAACACATTTTCTTGAAATGTAAACATACCGGCGCGCAACGCATTATGATGTCACGCGAGTCCAGAGATTGCTTGGTTACTGCGCGCTGATTGGATCAAAGTTTGCGCGGCGCGCCAGTATCATTGTGAAGTCACATCTTTAATGCTTGGACAGTTTACGCATTGACCCATATTAGTGGGGGCGCGGCCCTTTGGACGAGGGAAAGCATTATGTCGTCATATCTAATTAACGCTTGTCAGAATGCGCAGCCTTTGGGTGCAGGAGATCATTGTGATGTCACATTTTTAAAACGCCTGTAAAGATAGCTCTTCGCTCTGTAGGCAATAGCGCCGTTTTTTATTTTTCTAGAGGGGGGGGGGGGGGGGCTGCAGGTGGGACTAATGGGGCGGGTTTGGACAGTTCATGCTTCTGACTGAAAAAAAAACTGTTTTTAATGCTGGTAAAGATAAAGCATTTCCAGATCACTAGGGGAGGGGGGGAGGTGTGTTGGCATTGTGGAGATTTGAAATGATAAAGATTACAACATGCATGTGCGCTCCTTAACTCGCTTAGATATTGCATTCGGATAGAGCAGAATGAGCCGAATAAGTTTCATTTGGTGACCGATTTGGTCTTTAGCAAAGCGCCATCTTATTAGATCATCATGGCTTGATCTGGTAGCCAGGCCCAGTTTGGCCTTCTCACTTCTTTAAAGTGCACTGTAGCAAAGATGGGCCGCAGATCATGTAGTCCCTTTGAAATAAATCAACGTGATCAAGGCACAAAAAATACAACCAGAGCGAAAAATCTTAAAGAGTGCGACGTCCAAACAGTATCTGCTATTTCATAGATTTACAGCAGGCAATATTCGTTTTTATTAAGTCATTTTTAGATAGGCTACAATTACGTCATTTTACATACGCCTGTCCGGCATGCAACATCAGCGGATGGTTATTTCCCATCAATATCTATAACTGGTTTGAATACCGTCGTATTGTCATTGTGTTTCGTGATTACCATCGTGTAGAACTTTTTTTTTGTTTTTTTGTTTTTCATTCTCTTATCAGGAGAGGAGAGTAAAAACATTCTTCTCTTACACTTGAGACTACAAAAATTCAAGAGAATAAATGAACGAACACACAAGCCTTTTGTCATTCTCAAGTCACTTTTTATTTCTTTATTCAGGAAATCATACGATTTCGTAAAGCAACTGCTCGAGGAGCATTTGGGCGATGGTATAATTATCAACACCGTCGTCATCCACTGCGCAGAACGACAAGTCCATTGTGCTGACGTTGGTCTCTTCGAAGAGATCCCACGTAAAGTTCGATAGTTCAGAGACTGTGGTAAAACTCGACATATCGTCATCATCGTCGCTCTCATCGAATAGCGAAGACCAGTCAGAGATTGAACTCAAGTTGTCGTCATCATCACCGTCATCATCAGACACGGCTGAAGGAACGACCAATTGTGGTTTGGTGTCAATATTGCAATTCTCTTCAACTTTAGTAATTTCGTAGTTGGATGCTCCACTAACAAGGTGGAACTGCAAGATAAAAAAAGGGAAAGAGAGTGAAGAGCTGAATTATGCTTGAGAATGAACCACTTGATTTCCAGTCAAAATAGCAAAGGGAACTCAAAAGTCATCTCTAGTCTAGAATCAACACCCCCAAAATGTGCAGTTTGTTCTGTCTATTAAATACACTACTAGGCGTGGCATTGATTATTGATACAATTTTAGAAGAGGATTCGACTTTTGTTATTGTTTGAAGCGATTTACTTACCAATGCAATATCATCAACTGTCACTGCGACTGGACGTTCGTCATCAATAGATGCTGTAAACAATAATGAGAATATAGTAATGTCAATCTGTTAGCCGCACATCGCTTTTCGCTCATTCTTTTGTTTTCGTACAAAATCATCGTTTCTTGGTTTTAAAATGACAAGACCTCCATCTCGTTTGAGTGGGTATATACTTACAAGCTTTCGTTAAACACCGATTCCACCCGCCCCCCCCCCCCCCCATTATTTGTTGAGAATACATCTTTATATTTTAGAATGCCATCTATCCCCTCTAACTCATTCTTTTATTTACCTCGAACGCAGCAGCATAATTTTCGAAAACCTTTGGTCACTGTCTTTCTGAATCGACCAAAGAATCGACGCCTTCTCATAGATTGATTTGGCATTGTGAAGCAAGCAAGATGTACAGACATCTGGATGCGAGGGGAGTTCAATAAAGAATGAAGCATTAGCAACACATTTTCTTGAAATGTAAACATACCGGCGCGCAACGCATTATGATGTCACGCGAGTCCAGAGATTGCTTGGTTACTGCGCGCTGATTGGATCAAAGTTTGCGCGGCGCGCCAGTATCATTGTGAAGTCACATCTTTAATGCTTGGACAGTTTACGCATTGACCCATATTAGTGGGGGCGCGGCCCTTTGGACGAGGGAAAGCATTATGTCGTCATATCTAATTAACGCTTGTCAGAATGCGCATCCTTTGGGTGCAGGAGATCATTGTGATGTCACATTTTTTAAAACGCCTGTAAAGATAGCTCTTCGCTCTGTAGGCAATAGCGCCGTTTTTTATTTTTCTAGAGGGGGGGGGGGGCTGCAGGTGGGACTAATGGGGGCGGGTTTGGACAGTTCATGCTTCTGACTGAAAAAAAAACTGTTTTTAATGCTGGTAAAGATAAAGCATTTCCAGATCACTAGGGGAGGGGGGGAGGTGTGTTGGCATTGTGGAGATTTGAAATGATAAAGATTACAACATGCATGTGCGCTCCTTAACTCGCTTAGATATTGCATTCGGATAGAGCAGAATGAGCCGAATAAGTTTCATTTGGTGACCGATTTGGTCTTTAGCAAAGCGCCATCTTATTAGATCATCATGGCTGATCTGGTAGCCAGGCCCAGTTTGGCCTTCTCACTTCTTTAAAGTGCACTGTAGCAAAGATGGGCCGCAGATCATGTAGTCCCTTTGAAATAAATCAACGTGATCAAGGCACAAAAAATACAACCAGAGCGAAAAATCTTAAAGAGTGCGACGTCCAAACAGTATCTGCTATTTCATAGATTTACAGCAGGCAATATTCTTTTTATTAAGTCATTTTTAGATAGGCTACAATTACGTCATTTTACATACGCCTGTCCGGCATGCAACATCAGCGGATGGTTATTTCCATCAATATCTATAACTGGTTTGAATACCGTCGTATTGTCATTGTGTTTCGTGATTATCATCGTGTAGAACTTTTTTTTTTTTTTTTTTTTTTCATTCTCTTATCAGGAGAGGAGAGTAAAAACATTCTTCTCTTACACTTGAGACTACAATGATTCAAGAGAATAAATGAACGAACACACGAGCCTTTTGTCATTCTCAAGTCACTTTTTATTTCTTTATTCAGGAAATCATACGATTTCGTAAAGCAACTGCTCGAGGAGCATTTGGGCGATGGTATAATTATCAACACCGTCGTCATCCACTGCGCAGAACGACAAGTCCTTTGTGCTGACGTTGGTCTCTTCGAAGAGATCCCACGTAAAGTTCGATAGTTCAGAGACTGTGGTAAAACTCGACATATCGTCATCATCGTCGCTCTCATCGAATAGCGAAGACCAGTCAGAGATTGAACTCAAGTTGTCGTCATCATCACCGTCATCATCAGACACGGCTGAAGGAACGACCAATTGTGGTTTGGTGTCAATGTTGCAATTCTCTTCAACTTTAGTAATTTCGTAGTTGGATGCTCCACTAACAAGGTGGAACTGCAAGATAAAAAAAGGGAAAGAGAGTGAAGAGCTGAATTATGCTTGAGAATGAACCACTTGATTTCCAGTCAAAATAGCAAAGGGAACTCAAAAGTCATCTCTAGTCTAGAATCAACACCTCCCAAAATGTGCAGTTTGTTCTGTCTATTAAATACACTACTAGGCGTGGCATTGATTATTGATACAATTTTAGAAGAGGATTCGACTTTTGTTATTGTTTGAAGCGATTTACTTACCAATGCAATATCATCAACTGTCACTGCGACTGGACGTTCGTCATCAATAGATGCTGTAAACAATAATGAGAATATAGTAATGTCAATCTGTTAGCCGCACATCGCTTTTCGCTCATTCTTTTGTTTTCGTACAAAATCATCGTTTCTTGGTTTTAAAATGACAAGACCTCCATCTCGTTTGAGTGGGTATATACTTACAAGCTTTCGTTAAACACCGATTCCACCCGCCCCCCCCCCCTATTATTTGTTGAGAATACATCTTTATATTTTAGAATGCCATCTATCCCCTCTAACTCATTCTTTTATTTACCTCGAACGCAGCAGCATAATTTTCGAAAACCTTTGGTCACTGTCTTTCTGAATCGACCAAAGAATCGACGCCTTCTCATAGATTGATTTGGCATTGTGAAGCAAGCAAGATGTACAGACATCTGGATGCGAGGGGAGTTCAATAAAGAATGAAGCATTAGCAACACATTTTCTTGAAATGTAAACATACCGGCGCGCAACGCATTATGATGTCACGCGAGTCCAGAGATTGCTTGGTTACTGCGCGCTGATTGGATCAAAGTTTGCGCGGCGCGCCAGTATCATTGTGAAGTCACATCTTTAATGCTTGGACAGTTTACGCATTGACCCATATTAGTGGGGGCGCGGCCCTTTGGACGAGGGAAAGCATTATGTCGTCATATCTAATTAACGCTTGTCAGAATGCGCATCCTTTGGGTGCAGGAGATCATTGTGATGTCACATTTTTTAAAACGCCTGTAAAGATAGCTCTTCGCTCTGTAGGCAATAGCGCCGTTTTTTTTTTTCTAGAGGGGGGGGGGGGCTGCAGGTGGGACTAATGGGGGCGGGTTTGGACAGTTCATGCTTCTGACTGAAAAAAAAAACTGTTTTTAATGCTGGTAAAGATAAAGCATTTCCAGATCACTAGGGGAGGGGGGGAGGTGTGTTGGCATTGTGGAGATTTGAAATGATAAAGATTACAACATGCATGTGCGCTCCTTAACTCGCTTAGATATTGCATTCGGATAGAGCAGAATGAGCCGAATAAGTTTCATTTGGTGACCGATTTGGTCTTTAGCAAAGCGCCATCTTATTAGATCATCATGGCTTGATCTGGTAGCCAGGCCCAGTTTGGCCTTCTCACTTCTTTAAAGTGCACTGTAGCAAAGATGGGCCGCAGATCATGTAGTCCCTTTGAAATAAATCAACGTGATCAAGGCACAAAAAATACAACCAGAGCGAAAAATCTTAAAGAGTGCGACGTCCAAACAGTATCTGCTATTTCATAGATTTACAGCAGGCAATATTCGTTTTTATTAAGTCATTTTTAGATAGGCTACAATTACGTCATTTTACATACGCCTGTCCGGCATGCAACATCAGCGGATGGTTATTTCCCATCAATATCTATAACTGGTTTGAATACCGTCGTATTGTCATTGTGTTTCGTGATTACCATCGTGTAGAACTTTTTTTTTTTTTTTTTTTTTTTCATTCTCTTATCAGGAGAGGAGAGTAAAAACATTCTTCTCTTACACTTGAGACTACAATGATTCAAGAGAATAAATGAACGAACACACAAGCCTTTTGTCATTCTCAAGTCACTTTTTATTTCTTTATTCAGGAAATCATACGATTTCGTAAAGCAACTGCTCGAGGAGCATTTGGGCGATGGTATAATTATCAACACCGTCGTCATCCACTGCGCAGAACGACAAGTCCTTTGTGCTGACGTTGGTCTCTTCGAAGAGATCCCACGTAAAGTTCGATAGTTCAGAGACTGTGGTAAAACTCGACATATCGTCATCATCGTCGCTCTCATCGAATAGCGAAGACCAGTCAGAGATTGAACTCAAGTTGTCGTCATCATCACCGTCATCATCAGACACGGCTGAAGGAACGACCAATTGTGGTTTGGTGTCAATATTGCAATTCTCTTCAACTTTAGTAATTTCGTAGTTGGATGCTCCACTAACAAGGTGGAACTGCAAGATAAAAAAAGGGAAAGAGAGTGAAGAGCTGAATTATGCTTGAGAATGAACCACTTGATTTCCAGTCAAAATAGCAAAGGGAACTCAAAAGTCATCTCTAGTCTAGAATCAACACCTCCCAAAATGTGCAGTTTGTTCTGTCTATTAAATACACTACTAGGCGTGGCATTGATTATTGATACAATTTTAGAAGAGGATTCGACTTTTGTTATTGTTTGAAGCGATTTACTTACCAATGCAATATCATCAACTGTCACTGCGACTGGACGTTCGTCATCAATAGATGCTGTAAACAATAATGAGAATATAGTAATGTCAATCTGTTAGCCGCACATCGCTTTTCGCTCATTCTTTTGTTTTCGTACAAAATCATCGTTTCTTGGTTTTAAAATGACAAGACCTCCATCTCGTTTGAGTGGGTATATACTTACAAGCTTTCGTTAAACACCGATTCCACCCGCCCCCCCCCCTATTATTTGTTGAGAATACATCTTTATATTTTAGAATGCCATCTATCCCCTCTAACTCATTCTTTTATTTACCTCGAACGCAGCAGCATAATTTTCGAAAACCTTTGGTCACTGTCTTTCTGAATCGACCAAAGAATCGACGCCTTCTCATAGATTGATTTGGCATTGTGAAGCAAGCAAGATGTACAGACATCTGGATGCGAGGGGAGTTCAATAAAGAATGAAGCATTAGCAACACATTTTCTTGAAATGTAAACATACCGGCGCGCAACGCATTATGATGTCACGCGCGTCCAGAGATTGCTTGGTTACTGCGCGCTGATTGGATCAAAGTTTGCGCGGCGCGCCAGTATCATTGTGAAGTCACATCTTTAATGCTTGGACAGTTTACGCATTGACCCATATTAGTGGGGGCGCGGCCCTTTGGACGAGGGAAAGCATTATGTCGTCATATCTAATTAACGCTTGTCAGAATGCGCATCCTTTGGGTGCAGGAGATCATTGTGATGTCACATTTTTTAAAACGCCTGTAAAGATAGCTCTTCGCTCTGTAGGCAATAGCGCTGTTTTTTATTTTTCTAGAGGGGGGGGGGGGGCTGCAGGTGGGACTAATGGGGGCGGGTTTGGACAGTTCATGCTTCTGACTGAAAAAAAAACTGTTTTTAATGCTGGTAAAGATAAAGCATTTCCAGATCACTAGGGGGGGGGGGGGGAGGTGTGTTGGCATTGTGGAGATTTGAAATGATAAAGATTACAACATGCATGTGCGCTCCTTAACTCGCTTAGATATTGCATTCGGATAGAGCAGAATGAGCCGAATAAGTTTCATTTGGTGACCGATTTGGTCTTTAGCAAAGCGCCATCTTATTAGATCATCATGGCTTGATCTGGTAGCCAGGCCCAGTTTGGCCTTCTCACTTCTTTAAAGTGCACTGTAGCAAA